CCCCGCCAGGACCCCACCCCCTCCAGGACCCCCCCTCCAGAACCCACCCTCCAGGACCCCACACCCTCCAGGAACACACACCCTCCAGGACCCACCCTCCAGGACCCCACACCCTCCAGGACCCCACACTCTCCAGGACCCCACACCCTCCATGACCCCACACCTCCACGACCCCACACCCTCCAGGACCCCACACCCTCTAGGACCCACACCCTCCAGGACCCCACACTCTCCAGGACCTCACACTCTCCAGACCTTTCCAGCACCTGCTTTCCAGTGGGGCCATTACCACGTAATGTGCAGATGTGCTCTTTTTCTGCTATTATAAAAAATTAAGCTTCCTTTCGGCCACTCAGAGACCCACCCAAGTGCCCTGAAGAAATGGTTGGGACCACACGGGCTTCCCCATGGTGTCCAGCTGTGCGGGAGAGACAGGCTCCAAACAGAGGCTCTGCTCCCCAGCTCAGTCCACACTGAGGACAAGTTGGAGGTGAGCAGCCGGTCTGTCAATGGGTTGCAAAGCCCTCACCAATAATCACCTTCAAAGGAAAGGTCTTGGGGGTGGAGGGCCTGTTAGAACACAATGTGAGGCTGGGGAGATGGCTCAGTTGGTAAACTGCTTTTCACACAAGCATGAAGACTTGAGTTCAAGCCCCAAAACCCACGTAAAAAATCCTGGCATAAGGGTGCCTGCTTCTAATCCCAGTTGTGGGAGGTAGAAACAGGCCAATCCCTGGACTTGGCTGGCCAATCTAGCTGAAGTGGCACGCTCCAGGCCAGTGAGAGACCCTGTCTCAAAAGAGGAGATGGACAGTGACTGAGGAACGACATCTGAGATTGACCTCTGGCTTTTCTCCACATGCAGGTGTCCTCTGACTCACATTCCGCCAAAAATTGGAAAAGCAATTTATCTGAACCTTCTGGTCTCTCCGATCTCTGCTATGTTTTCTAAACAGGCCCGCTCTCAGATTTTTCACAGAATTTTATTCCTTTGTTTGAACAGGTCTCACTCTGTAGCCCAGGCTGGTCTGAAACTCATGTAATTTTTTGTTTCCTACTTGTTTCCCATGGAATACGATGCCTGGACTAAACCCAAAAAGTGGGATTTGAGCTCTCTGAGCCTAAACAGTCAGCCTCTGATGCATCCCCCTCAGACCCAGAGGACCGTGACTAATTCACTCCTACTTGTGAAAAGTTGAAGAAGAAATTCAATAAAAATTGTATTTAACACTGCTTTTATGGTATATCAATAATGTTGCATTTTTATTAAGTGTGTAAGTGCACTTACAGAATGCACTCAGAATGTACAAGTGTACATTCGCAGCTTTATTGCTGGAAAAAGTTGCTCCTCTAAGCCATGGATTAGGAAAACGGCCCCAGTGCCAGGGGTGGGGTACCGTCTCATGAGCTCTTGGGCATGAAGGCCCCAGAGGCCCCCAAAGCAGTG